CATCATCATCATCATCATCATCATCATCATCATCATCATCATCATCATCATCATCATCATCCATCATCCATCATCCATCATCCATCATCCATCATCCATCATCCAACATCCATATATATATATATATCGGTTGATCATCATACATCATCGTACATCATCAATCATGAACAAAACTGGGGAAAATGGCCGGACATCGAACCATGGAGAATTCACTGTGATGATTTCCCCAAGGTCAGTGAATGATGGATTTCCAGTCACAGTGCTCTGTCTTGGGGCTTTGGGAGGATTTGATACAAAAATCCTCGAATCTCCACAGCCTTGGCAGGCGGGGGTAGCTGCAAGGTAGCTGAAGCGAACACCACAACGCGCTGCTTGGTGACACCGTGTCACGCCGAGTGGACCAGCTCTTGCGGTGGTGATCCGTTTGAGGGAAAATTGCACTGAAAGCCCAACAATCAAGGCATATCCTGGAATATCCGGTCGCCAAGACATACACTGGCCAGATGAAAGTTGCGCTTGTTGACGTTAAACTCATGACAACTTTACCTCCCTAGAATCCTACACCATGAGACAAGGGAAGGTGTGGGCGGTCATTTGTCACCCCGGAAAGCCTTTAATGTTATAATTGACCGTCCCATACCTGCCACGAAAATCCGACTTGTTAATTCGATCCGCCGCTGACCTCAGAGTGTTTTGTAAGGAGACTTACAAGCGTTGAAGTAGCTACATCAAGAAACACGTAAAGCCAGGGGATCAAGGTATCGTTCAAAACGCCTTGCTGAAACTGATTTAGCTCACAAATGTGCAATTACATAGTATTATGGCATACATATATATATATATGTTACTATGTTTGTATAATTACATGTTATACACGGTGTGAATGTGGGACATTGCAAATCTCAACCGGTGGCCGGGTCAGCAGATCCGGTCCACCGGTGAACAAAGGAAGCAGAAAGCAGGGTCGACCGGTTGGGAAACCTTTGGGTTGGAGTTGAACTACATGTGTCAAGGTTCCATCATAGATAGGGCTATGATGGGCTATGTTATGGTTCCTTTTTGTCCAGCGGGGTGCAGGGCAAATCACTTCCTGCTATTAGCATCACCATGCCTGCAATCGAAACAATGGCTGATGGCAAAGTGCAAGGGACCTGTGGAAGTACAACTCTTCGGTGGAATCAGATTTCTTCGTTCGAGCCAGGAGCTACAAACATACTAGTCTACGGACGAACACTGGCATTCCTCCGCGATATTTGGCCAGCAAAGTCCATTGAGCATCTTGCACCTCGTGCAGCACTACAAGTCAATGGGGCTGCATTGCAGAAGGTTGCGCGCTTGGACCCAGCCGCTACACACCAAGGAGGGAGCACACTACCTGGTAGAAGCCCAATAAATGGTCAATGAACTGGGAGGAAAAAAGAAGTTCCAGCTCCTTGCAAAAGAAACAATCTCTCAAGTCAGCCAAAAGGCCGATGAGAGCAATGATTCCTACATCAGCCGGAACGACAACGCCTTCGTGTAGGAGCTGGAGTAACTAGTAACAGTTGAACACATTGCGTTTACATCCTCAGTCGACAATATCGACAATCAACACTCTCCATGGAAGACCGCAACAAAATCAACATGGAGAACCATGAGAGACTCACCTATGCTTCAGCAAGCGGCTTCTTGGAACTAAATTCTGGAATGAACTGCAGCAAAACTCTTACCGCAACCATACTGAAGATGATGTGGGACCATACCTGACTGACGATGTGGACACGGGTGAGATGGATGAAGAAACAATCTTCCAAGTGTTTTGGAAGAAGGTGACGAGCAGGCACAGTTCTATCATGACTTTGAGGAGACATTCATTCTGATGTTTTTCTTGAAAGCAGCTTCACTGGGATCGGCCAGGAAGCCCGCCAAACAAGATCAAACAAACCAAACCCCGGATCGTGTTGATTTGAACGCAGTACAGGCAACGGCGTGTCCGAGTCTCCCGTTGCCGATGAAACATGGTGGAAAGCCTCCTATACCGATGCTGCAGATGTCAACACAAGGCCCTATAACTGATATCAGTGCGAAAGTTGGTGTTTTTAGCATCTAAATCTGTGTTTTTAGACTTTGTTTTTTCTCAGCCAGGATCGAAGTGCTTCAGGGCTTCAGGCCATCACTCTACAGCACAGATTGCACCCACAGATGTCCAACTTGCTCAGAACCAGCAAGCGCAAGCGGTCATGTGTGCAGTCGCATAACAAAACCCTCGAGTTGTGACCGGAACACTACCCCAACTGCTGAGGCGGATATATAGACGTTTCTTCATAGTAAGAGTAGTGTGGGAATGAATGACGAACCCCGGCCTTGACTAGACTGACCTCAACTTAGTTTGGAAAGCGCACCAACTGCATGTTTGGCCACAGACTGCAAATTTAAAAGCATCTGCGATGTGGCAACTGAGGCAAGTCCAGCTCCATGTTCAGAGTACAGAACAGAACCACACTGGAATCCCTATTGATCAGGTAACGATTTCAAGAGAACACGATCCTAGATGATCCTACGATGCATATGTCAAGCAATGGTGGCAAAGTGATTGACAAAGTGTACGAGTGGTGATGAGGGACTTGGACAGGTTGGGAAACATTGGAATTTCGTCGAATAGGAGTAGATTCGTGCAAAAGTATATTGTGTACAAATATGATGCACAATTATATATATATACACACACTCTCCGCGTCGATAAGGACAGGTGCCATTCACCCAGCATGCAGCCCCGCAGTAGTCCACTCAAGTATATACCCCCGAGCCACCATCATTGGCAAACTTAGAGGCGGGCAAAGTGATTAAGAAACGTCTCCGGGCAGCCTCAGCCGCAAGGTTGAACGGCATCAGGCTACGATTTGCAGTGAAATACTTTTGAGAACTCCCTTTGGTGCTGAACCTTGTTCTGGTATAGCGGGTATGTTGGCTCCAAGCATGTGATGAGCATTTCGAACTGCCAAATACACATCACATGAAACACCAATAATGGCCGTCATTCATTGCCCCTGCATCAATCACCCTCACCAACTCAGGACGCAGCAGTCACATCCCGAATCTTGTCGGGTGCCTAGGTGGTAGCTTTGGCCACTGACGTACGAGTTCTGATGGACGATTCATTCATAAACTGGCAGCACAAGAAAGAAACAAACTTGTATATATGGCACGCCCTTCCCTGAGACCTACCTTATTACACTTTCCAGTGAACTCTGCACATTTTGAGGTCATTTATTTAGAAGTTTTGGATGGATTGCGGGGGTGCCATATATATATATATGTATGCATATGTAAACATATTGCATACACACGTGTCGAAACCAAGCACATGTTGAATTAACAAATTTGCACAGTTGCAAATGATTCTGGACTCAAGATTCAAGATTCTGTCAGGGCTTGGGTTGAAGAACTTTTCCCCAGAATCTTGAATCTTGACTCCCAAAAACTTTGCAAAATTTGCGAAGGCTAATCTGCAGAGAATACGAATAAGACATTATAGTAGGAAGTGGCTGTGGACGGCTGTCACACGAGCTAGGGATTTTGAAAACAGAGTTTCGACGTTTCGGAACGCCTTTTCTCCTTGAGCCAAAACACGTCAAGAGTCACGTGTCTGCAGTACCCTAGCGGAGTATATATGGGCTGTACATACAAACACTCCTCCTCTTGCAAAGCACTGTACTGCTGCGCAAGCTTAAAAGGAAACATGTGAAACTCTTCGCTGCTTAGCCACTTTCAGTTGTGGTAGTGGAGCTTGGCCAGGGACACTTTCAAGTGGCCTTCGGCGACCCTTTCTTGCAACCATAGGTAGCGGGTCTGGATGTGTCTGGCTTTACCTAAACCCACTCTATTCACTGTTCCTTTGGCTGCATTGGAATCGCCCTCGATGGTGACTCCCAAATCCAAACCAAGGTCTGCGCATAGGCTTTGGAGGCCTAAGCCCACAGATCCTCCCTTCGCAAGTGCGTAGTACTCACTCTCACCTGTGGAAAGGGCTACAGTGGATTGGATGTTACTGCTGTGTTTTAACACGTGCATGCCGTACATAGCAACCATGCCAGTCGTGCTTTTGCGCGTCACAGCGTCTCCACCGTGGTCGGCATCAACCTGCACCCTCAGCCTTGAGGGTGTCTCTTATGAGCCAAAACATTGCCCAACATCAGGGTATTTCTTCAAGTACCTGATGAGACGCTTCAAGTCAGCAAGTTTGGCTTCTGTTGGTGATACCATACCTCGAGCAAGGTTCTTGACTGCGTGTCCAATATCGAGTCGATCTTGGGACAAATACGCAGCACGCATCGTAGCTGAACGATACTTCGATGCCTCGCTCTTATCAAGCAGCGGACTGCGGCTTTCCAGCATCTGCTGATCTGCCGACTTCTTGACATCTGGTGATTCTACACCATTTGCCTTCTCCAGACCAAATGCCTGGATCAAAAGATCGACATGTCTCCGATCGGCTTCGATTCACAATTGATCCTTTGCCGTTCTTCTTTTCGACTCGGATTAACCGATTCAGAAAATGAGCTTCTGTTCGGTCTCCATCCTCGTCTCCAAGAATTCCGAGACATTTCAGCTCACAGGCATCTTTGAGGACTTGGCTGAGCTTCTCCAAGTGTTGAGCGTCTCCAAGTGCTAGGAAGTCATCTCCATGCACCATCACTCTGACGTCCAAAGCTTCTTGGTAGAAGACTGACGCATTTGACAAGCCTCTGCGGAAACCAGCCTTCTGCAGAGTCTCTGTGTAGTGCGTCTGCCAGATATTTGGAGCGTCCTGTGTTCCATACATCGACTTCACGAGAAGTCCACAGGTCTGCCCATCTTTGCTGGCTTCGTCCTCAGGCGGCAGCTCTATGTAGATCTTTCTCTTTGGAGTTCCATAAAAGTGTGCTCGTGAGATGTCCCACAAGCCCAGCTTCAGCGGCTGGTTGTGGCAGGACTTTCTCTTTGTTGCCCACAACGAGCACAGCAGTCTCATCGCCTCCAATGGGGGCGTGCTGCTGAAAAGCAAGTTGGCTGGCAATTGTTCTTCTTTGGTCTTTCTTGCCTTTATCTCACGCACAACTAATCGGCTCCTATAGTTCGGGTTTGTTGGATCTCCCTTGTTGGTGTCCAACCATCTGACTGGAATCGGGGGCTTCCCCGTTTCCTCAAAACATTCGGCTCTCGGCCGGGGCACATAAACACCATGCTTTTCTTTCAAATAATCCATCTCAAGGCGTCTTGCCTCCTTCACTTTCTCGGCTGGCAAAATGCCGCCGTTCACATCATCCATGTAGACTTCTTCGAACTCAGGGTCCATCAGAGGCATCTCTGGAACTGGGCCTGCTGCAAACAGATCAAAGGTGTTCAACTCACCTTTCTCGGCTAGTGTGTCACGCAGGCTCCTCGGCACTGCTTTCACGAGCTGCGGTGGGTATACTGCTGCCTGCCTAGCGATGCCTCCGATCAGATGGATGTGTCGGTGCCATGGTCCTTTGCCCGATTCATTCGAGCAGACTCCTTGCAAGACTCTGGCCAGCCCTTCATCGTTGGTCATCCAACCGGTCTCCTTTCTCGCATAGCCGGTGCCTTGGAGTCCTCTTCGGTCAGTGGCCATCATTTGCCACCTGCACATTGGACCCTTTACTACGAACACTCCATCTTCTTTTGCTAAGGCCGCAACTTTCTCATCCTTCCAACTAGTTGCGGACCAAGGTGCCTCATGGAGGAATTTTCTCCCTGAGCGATGCTGCTTGACCTACAGCTCTACGCTCGTATGAAGATGGTGGACGGCTTCGTCCATTTTCCTCCTCCGGACATCCGGTGCCATGCTTCTCCAGTTGAGGTTCTGGAGCTGCGAGAACATATGGCACGGAGGCGAACCAGTCAAAAGAGCCGTTTCGTCCTTCTCAAGGATGTCGTGCACCTCTTGAACATCTTCGGACTTGTTCAAGTCCCAGTATGTTCCATCGCTTTTCATTTCATTCAAGTCGACCGCAAAACCCGGTCGCAACTTGTACCGCTCTGCAAGTGCGGTGAACCTCTTGGGCGAGTTGATTTCCATGACATCTACTGCTGACATCTGCATGCTCAAATGCGCGATGTCTCTGATCTCTTGCTCAGAGATCTCGATGCCATTCGCCTCGTAGGTTCCTTGAATGATCTTCTTCAGATGCTGCTTTGCGATCTCCTTCTCTTTTACCAAGCTTGCTGCATCTGGCTTCCACCCTGCTGGTGGTGTTTCTGGAACATACGAAAACGTCTCAGTTTTCTTTGGACTCTCTTCCACTCTGGGATCAAGGTCTTCTACGGCGGTCTCTGCCGTCCTCTTTGTTCCTTGAGCTGGATTCGGCTTGACCTTTGCCCCAGGTGGATCTATCCTAAGTTCTCCTGTTCTCTTCTTGGGCTCTGTTGCTACCTTGGCTTTTGCCACTGGTTTCTTCTCTATCTCGGCTGCTTGCCTCTTCATCTCATATCTCTCTTTCGGGTCATCGGGATAGGTCTTCTCACCCTCTGCCGCTGTTGGCGGCGGGCTTCCCGACCCTGTGCTCTTTGCTTCTTCTTTCTTCTCTGGTTCTCCGGCCGCGTCTTCGGCCGTGATGTCGGTGTCCTTGTCGGCCACGACTTTCGGCTTCACAGTGTCAAGCTGTTGCCGTTCTTTCCTCTTCTTCGCATGGGCTTCAAGTCTTGCTTGCCCTGCTTCATCCTTTTCCATTGCTTCAGTGATCCTTGCTCTGCACGCCTCTGTGTGCGGCAAGGTCGTCCTCTTGTCTTCCAAGATGCACTTGCATCCTGGGCAGCCTTCTGTGGCTCCATGCTTGTGCACATCCTCTCTCCTGATGTACACTCGCCTCTGCTGTGGTGGTGCCACTCGTTCCTCCTTGGGAGGTGGTACCACAAGGCGCTCTTCGAGCATCAGCTGCTCACCGGCAGGCCTTGCCGCGGAATGTTCCCACGGTAAGCCCCGCAAAAGTCCCAATCACTTGGGTCCCAGCGGTCGGCTGAACTCAGCCGCCGGATTCCTGTGCCTCTGCGCACGCCATCGGCCGTCATCACCAAAATGGATCCTGTTCGGCCGTGGTGCCCTACATAGCGTCCTTCTTTCAGGATGCGAACTCCCTCGCCTACTTCTCTAAAGTATAGGCGTTCACCAAAAGCTATGGCAGGTTTTCGCCATTGCTTTCCACATCTTCTGGCCTCAGGCGTTCTGCCATCTTGACCTTTCTTGTACCTGCTCAACAGGTCTCCCGCCTGTCTTGGCAGCCATGCCAATGCAGGATCATCATCTTTAAGCTCTGCCGAGCTTCTCTTCCAACGCGCTGCGGAGAACTCGTACTTGACGCTTGATCTCCTTGCAGGCGTTCTCTGCCAGACCATTCGCCTGATGGTCTCCTACTGGCGACTCTTCCGAAACCCAGTCTATGCTGGTTTCTTTCGCCGCTGCCTCTTTCAAGGCTACCACGGATGGCTCACCATCCGACTTGAGAACCACCTTGCGGTGTCCCAAGTTCTTCAAGAAGTTCGCCACGAACTTCACTGCATACGGCGTCGCTCCCTTCGAGTCCACGAAGGTCGCCGCTAAGGACTGTGTCCTCTCATCCTTCACTACGAGGATCGGCTTCACTCGCTCGTCCTCCACACCGCCCCGTGACATGAACGTATAGTCCATTGCCACTGTGGGCATAAGGCTCTTCGCCTTCTGTTCCTCGGATCTCGTCCGATGTGGCTGTCCCACAGCCCGTCCAGCAATGCAATGCCGGCACCAACTTCGATACTGCACATGGCCTGTCGCCTCGTGCTCTTCAATCTCAGCCGGAGTTGGGTCCTCCGGTGCTCTTATCTGGATGGGTTTCTCAACCTCATCAACTAATTCCAACTCATCATCCTCTTCTCGCCCCTCTGGACCAGGTCGGCCTGAATCCATAGAGGCATCTCCTCTTTCTCCTGTGGCGTTCAACTCCGCGATGCCACAGCATTCCTTGGTCGGTTTATACCCTGGCTTTCTCAAGTAGAAATTGTATACTCCCTGCTCTTGGTATACAGGGATCCAACTCCGCTGCTCTGCAGCGTTCGCTTTCTCCAGGATCGCCTGGACAGCCTTTCCAACTTTGGACCCTTGCGGAACCAAGTTTCCGCCATTCGCATCAAGAACGGCAATCCTTCCAAAGCCTAAGCACTTGGATGCTGAAATCAATGGCTTGTGAACATCAGCCATTGAACCTTTCACGCGGCATTTGTTGCCGCTCTCATCGAACCCTTCAAAGGTTCCAATGCCCTGACTGGGCACCAACTCTCCTGATGCAGTCTTGAATACAACTCCGTTGCCTTCACTGACAACCACTCGATCCTCCCAGCCATTCGGGATGGCTGTCTGGGCTGCTCCAGTGTCCAGGTTAAACTTCATCCATTCTTCGGCGGATGAGGTGTCCGCCATTCCAATTCCACTCAAGTCTGCCATGAGCATTCCGACATCAGCCTCTGGAGCTGGCTCAACGCCCTCATCCGGATCGTCCATCTCTTCCATACTTCCTGCGGCTTTACCTTTGCCGCTTCGTCCACCTTTGCCTTTATTGCCTTTGCCACCTTTACCACTCTTGTCTCCTTTGCCTGAACCTGACCACTTATCGCCTTTTCCATCCGGCCGTTTCTTGCTCCAGCAATCGGCCGCTCGGTGTCCCTTCTTACCGCAATTATAGCAGGTGATATCTTGAGCCGGGTTTGAGCCTTTACTTGAGCCCCCTTTGCTCGAGCCTTTCTTTCCATCACCTTTGGCCTGTTTACCTTTTCCTTTACCTTTTCCTTTGACCAGGCTTGCGATCCATTGTCCGATCGAATCGACGTCCATGGGTTGAGGTCCTTGATAGCTCGTACTTGATGAACCTGGTTTTGGAACAGGTGACTTTGATGTGAGGGATGTTTCAATGACAAGTTCAATCTCCTGTTTGATCAACGAATAGGTTGTCAATCTACTCTTGTTCAACAAGAGATGTTTCTCCAAATCTGGCAGTACCAGCATCTCCAATGAAGCGGACTTGATGTCGTCCGATAGAGTCTCCCTGATCCCTGCGGCACTCCTCCGAGACTCGTACCGCCTGATGAGCTCTTCGAGCTGTTCGATCGCTGGCCTCACCGCGGCCCACGTCTTGACTCTCTCCGGTTGGAGAATCGCCCGTCCCGCGGTTCGGGGATCCCAACGGCGGTGAACTCGCCGATATGCTTCAAACCCATTTGAAGCTCCTACCATCAAATCCTCTGTTTCACCTGAGGTTAGGGTCAGGAGCACGCGATGAATTTGATCAGCTTTATCCTCTAGGTCATCCATAGCTGCTATGGTTCCAGTCCCAAACGCGGACTCCATAGCACTCATTTCAATCGCGTCTTCCTGTTCCAAAATATACTCAAGAACTTCAATGAACTCTCTCCCAAAGGTAGTTATGAACAGGTTGTCAATGCTCCTGGCCCATTTTCGAAAATCCCCTTCAACATTCCCAAAACTCTCGGGGCGTCCCAAACCTTTGGTGTCCATAAGGATTTGGGTCTTTCGCCTATCTTCTTTCTTCTCAAGGCTCTTAGCCAATTCTCCTACGGCTGAGGCTAGCATTGATACCCCGCCTTGAGACTCCCTCAACACTTGGTTCTCTTGCTCCAACCTCGTTTGGTTCTGTTGGAGTTGCAATACCATATCGGTCAGCTGTTGGATCTGTTGTTCCATGGTTCCCTACTCTCAACCCCGCTGCTGCCGCTCACTCCTTTTCCAGCGACCGCGGGCGATTCGCCCGGTCAAGGATCGGAAGCTTTTGGCACTCCACGGACTTCAACAGTAGTCCGTGTGAGTTCTTCCGGGCGACGGCCCACAGTTGTGGCCTTCGCTTTATCCGCTACTTTTGGTGCGGCTGACGGTTTGGCCTTCCCTTTTGGTCCGGCCTTCGATTTGGCCTTCTCTTTCGGCCCATGTGTCAGGCTCACTTTTGGTGCCGCCTTTGTCTTGGCGGTCGATCCGAGGCGGGCAGGTCCCTTAAGACCACGCCGCTTGATGTAGTCCTGAACCACGGGCAACTGTGCCTGCCGTCGTTCGTCACAAGAACTACAAGCCTCGTTGGATCCTCTCTTTCCCTGGTCGTTGGGGGTCTTCCAGAGTTCGCGAATGGCGGCCAATGCAACGGTACCCTTGAGGCCTCGTTGCTCGACAAGTTCGTCGGCCGCAAGCTTTCGCACTTGGAACGGGCTCTCTAATTTCCAATTTTCTATCGTCAATCGCTGGGCCCGCTCGTTGGCTAGGGCGACGATGCGGAGGTTCAACTCCAGTGCACGTCCCCAGACCGCCCGTCCCCGCTCGGTGTCGCGGGTTTGCGGTCGCTTAGCCGGCGGTGGCCCGTCCGGTGTTCGAGGCTGTCGAACCGGACTTGGTTGGCTCACCGACTCTTCTTCTTCGACCTCCTCCTCGGCCGAACCAGCCGCTTCACTCTTCTCTGAGGTCTTTCTCTTCTTGGTCCGCTTCTCTTGATTGCGGACCTTTTGCTCTTCCCGCTCTTCTTTGATCTCTTGTGGAGTGCGCCCCTTTCCGAACTCTTTGATGCGCCTCCTCAGATCTTCTGTGATGACACCCTTCTTCTTCTGCAACCTGACCAAGTCCTTGAGCTTCCGGTACTGAAGCGAAGTCTTGCTTCGAAGTCGGAATCCGGACTGTGGCTCTGGATGCTTCTTGACCTGTCCCCAAATATTCTTCTTCACCCTCCAAGGCGCTTTGGAATCAACCTTGGCTTCAGTATATTTGGTGTGAATGCCACGAACTTCCCAGCCTGTTTTGACACCTTCTGGGGATGTGGTGAAGTCGGCGATCACTCGGCCAGACGATGGCTGTGCGGCTGGATCAGCCGCTTCAGCCTCTGGCTCTACTGTGGGGTCTTGTTCAGGCTTCTCTTCTTCTCCTCCTTCTGTCTCTTTTGTGGTCTCTTCTTCTTCTTCTTTTGTTTCCGCGGTCCCTTCAACCGCTGATGTTGTTTCGGCAGTTCCTACAACCGCCGGAGTGGTGTTCGCGGCCGATTCTGCCGCTGATGCGGCTGGCAAAGGCTCCTCCTCCTTTTCTTCCTTTCCACTCGGGGCGGCTGAATCAGCCGCTCCCGGGATTTCCTGATCCTCCTCCTCGGAGGTCTCTACCTTGCTATGTCTCTCCTCCTTTATGCGCAGCGCTTGGTCCCTTTCGCTTTCACCGGGCTCACGCGCTACCATGAAAACAGAGCGCCTTTTCTCCTTGAGCCAAAACACGTCAAGAGTCACGTGTCTGCAGTACCCTAGCGGAGTATATATGGGCTGTACATACAAACAGATTTAAGTAGAGTTATATACTGTAAGCGTCTTTTTAAATGCAGTGATGATACTGAAAATGATTTGAATACACAATGTATCACAAGGTATTTTAATAAGGAGGTTGAACAACGTAAAATACAGGATAGAAAAGGTAAAAGAGAAATACCTAAGGGCATTGCTTACTGTCATAGACGTAATAGCAGGTTTAAACGAATATCTACAAACTATGAATGTATATTGTGTAATTGAAACAGGTTTTAAACATGTTTAAACCGTATCTAAAGAAGTAGTGTGAATGCACACTAGCACTAAACAGTATTGCAAAGGATGTCAGAATAACAGAACACTAGAGATTCACTAAAGGGTTAAAACCTGCGACAGTTGTAGAGCCAAAAAGAAGATACTACAACAATACAGAATACTGAAAACAACCCTGACTGAAAAAATGAAACAGCAAAAGCAAAGGCATCAGAAAAAACAAAGAATATGACTGCCCATTATGTGACCATGATGTCCAGTGGTGTAAACAATCCCAAGACGAAAGGGGAACCTTTCATCAAGAGAATGTCAGAAAACAAACTCATCCAAACAGTTTGAAAATGAAGATGAACCAAGCAGTAAATATTTGACAAACAGGGACACAAATTTTATAGTATTGCTTGTAAATGCCTTATCATTGGAGACCACGCATGAGGACTAAAACACATAAACACAACAACAGAGGTAAATTATCTTTGAGGATTATCTAATGTCTAATGTTCAGGTGCTTCTGCAAAATACGATCTGCTTCACAATACGCCTTGCAAGCCCAAAAAGGTAGGTCTCAGGCGGGGGTACCTGAAAAAATAAATATATATATATAGGTTCATGATTCATGATGGTCAATGTACCCTAAGACTCCCGTCTGACTCAGCAATCCACCTCTATGCTGTTGGGAGTCGCTTCCATCCGAAAAAAAACACCCCGGACCCCGCCTGGTTCGTGACCTTCTCTGCCAGGCGCGAGAGCACCGGCACCGCTGCTGCATGGGAAAGCCGGGCCTGTGGAGAATAAGCGATCTGGACATGTCTGGACTACAATGACAAAAAAAAACACACATGGATAGCAGCCAGTCCTAGAGGTATTGCACGATCTTGGAGTCTTAAGACACTTAGGCCAGCATGTGAAGTACCCATTGGAGTAAAAGGTTCCACAGGATCAGGTCCTGCGTGTGAAAGTTTCCTGGATGGAATGCTGGTAGGATGCGACCATCTGCAACACGCACACACAGATATATATATATATACATATGTCAAGTATGCTACTTCCTTCTAGGAAGTAAGAAGAACACAATTCATGAAAAGGTGACTTCTGCATGCTTTGTCAACCTGGAAGGAACACCCCTACTCCTCTGATCGTCTCTTTGGGGCATGCACCAAGTCGTCGCCATTGGCATCCAGCAAAAGCTTGACCTCGTGCGACACTCGTGCGAGTGAGCTCGAGTGATGTTGGACCTTGAGCTCCACGCATAGCCCGAAATCATACGAACACACACCACGCGTTTTCGGAATTTGCGAAGCAAGTCCGGGCGAGTCTGAGTGCCATTCGACTCATCTGCTCATGCTGGAAAAAGAGCAGCGAAATCTCTGAGGCACTAACAGTGGCCATCTGGCTATGAGTGTTACCTGAGATGCCAGGTATTGCCAGGTGAAGCGATCGGCCCAATCCGATGCCGTGATAGAAAGATTGGGCTCTCTCGACATCTGCGTGGTGGCTTCCATCAGCCACGTTCATGCGCTGTCATGCGGCTTGCACAAGAATTGGTTGCCAAAGTCAAATTGGTTGAGCAAACTTTGGTATCACTTATTGACTCAGTTGCAGCAGTAACACCAGTGACTTGCTTTGATCTATATAGTCCTATAGGCATATGTTCCACCAAAGCGACCCCAGTACCAGGCAATCTTCACATTCTAGCGCATTTTTTCGATGAAAAAATATGGTCGGACCTGCGCAAGGCAATGGCTCTACCCCTCACTGTACCAAACATTGGAGGATTTGCAACTAGTAGTCCTAAGCATGTTTCAGTGTCCGGCCTTTGTGCAGTAACAGGCGTGGCCTATCAAGCTTCGTGGGCAGCACACATGTGCTCAGGGATGTGCCTCCAAAACCTATGTACCTAGCTGCCAGGCACATCTATGGGTTCAGTAACCAGCTCATGTCGTCTCAAGCTGTTGCCTCAGCAGGACTTTGGTGATACAATGGATTCTCGTTTCCGAGTCGCACCATGCTCTGTCCATGTTCTGTGCGATTTGGCCGTGAAGCACATCGAGTCCGAAATTCCTACTCGGGTTGACAGGCAGCATTTAATCTTAGGGTATCTTACACTCCCTGGAACTAACATAGAAGTGGAAAACCCCCTGTTTGAACCTGTTTGTAGGGGAAAATGGTCTTCCAAGGGGCCATGATCCACTTCCATGTTAGTTCTTCGGATATCTTTTGTAACTTCCACAATCATTAGCACCTTTGAGGGGCCAACTCGCAGGAACAGTGTTCCATATTAAAAGCTGACGCCGTCACTTCCTTAATCTCGCCAACTTGGTGTGGCAAGCTCTACAGTTTCAACCCTTGGCACGCTGTGGACTTCTGATCTGACACCCAACTCGTTTGAAAGGTGATCCCTCTAAACATCTCTCAACCAAACCCCTGCCATATGAGCAAACATGTTGGACAATCATGGGAATTTACAGTACACCATGTGTGGCAAATAAGCGGCTAAAGGCCCTAGTATTGAACCATTGTGAAATGTGCACGTGAGGGTTGCAGGGTCACCATGCTTGAATCAGTGAATGTTTACACCCACAAGCACGCTTCAACATGTTGGCACATGGCACGGGCACCTGACCTGGTTCGGGGGTGGTGATCTGCAAGCTTGATCAGGAATTACAACTTCTACCCCACCAAGCACGTGGGAGTACAGCTGTGATAAAGACACCGATAAAGAGCTATCACCACAAAAACAACCAAACAGTTCATCTAGTCTAGCTGATTTGTGAGCAAAGCCATTTACTTCAAGCTCTGTAGTGGATGCGCCAAATTGGTTGAAACTGAATGCAGTTGCGAATTTGACGCATGGGGTTGGCATCGGCCGTCCTCTTTGTATTTGTCAACCATTGTCAAGCTGATCCCAATGAGAGTGACATCCAGAGACTGCCTGCCCTGACTTTGAAGCATTTTGAAGCACTAAGCTTGCTCAATGTTGCGATTGAATAGCGCTTTAACGTTTCAAAATCTGATGTGCTATTTCCCGGCAGCATTGCGTTTTCGACCTGCAAGTCAAGACATTCACCGAAGTCTGTCTGTTCCACCTAGACTCTCAAAGTGTTTCAATAGCCCATTCGCCAACCTGCCAGGCTTATGGAGTGAAGTCTTCCTCTTCTGAGGAGTGGTGACTGCTGACCATGGATGAATGCCCAACGCTGGAGCCTGGGCCAATGCAAGCAAACGCGGTCATTCTGCACAGCTGGGCCGTGGAGAACTGGTTTCCACCCCAACATCACACCCCGAATTTGGAACAGGCAGCAATGAACACCCATTCCTTGTGAAGAAATAAAACAAAACAAATCACCTTAGTTCAGACCGGATTGTAGTGCGCGCAAACAATGGATTGAAACTTGAGGCCGCTCCAGAATGGGAAAGTGGAGGGCAGCGAGGTAGGAAAAAACACGGCGCTCTTTTTGGAGGAGGTCAAGGAGACGTCGCGGTGGCATCGCAAAGATCCAACTGCAGAGCGAGAGATGAGGGAGAGATGAGAGAGAGATGAGAGAGACAGTGAGAGTGAGAGTGAGAGTGAGCCAGTGCGGCCGCAAGATACGCAACGCTAACCGCATGCCAAAGAGCGACGACAGGACGGAGTCGAACTTGCGAAGAGGGAGGAGGGAGGGAGGGAGGGAAGGTGGGAGGAAGACAAGGACGGGGAGAGGGGAGGGGGGGGGGGAGGCGTCGACCTGAAAGATCAGGGGTTAGGATTTGCACCCGATCGAAAGAAACCTTGCTATCGCAAGAGTAACTCCAGCTAGCTTCGCTAGCTTTCGTGACATAGAAAACCGATGAACCGATTGTTTTTCAATAGCCCATGTCAAACCACCAAGTCTATATATGTATAACTATATATATACTACTTCAACTTAAGGCCACTCCGACTCTGACTCACTAACATGGAAATGGACACCACCCTAATCGTACATAGTCATCCGAGGGTCCATGTTCCACTTCCACGTTAGAGTGTCAGAGAGTAGCTGCCTCCCAAAAACAGAACTCCTCAAAAGGTTTTGATGCCCGAGCCACTGCCATTGCTGCTGGACATCATCGAGGCGCTGGAGGCCCCTGAGCCCGAGTGGCCTCCTGTAGAAGTGGCGCTGCAGTGGTGGACCAATGTGGACTGCTGAGAGGTGCTTCATCACAAGAGACGGTGATAATCACTCATTGCTAGTGTGGTCTTTCTTGAGTTTGGGAAGTGAACAAGGAGAATAAGGAATCAAGGAAACAGAAACAACTTGAAACGGGAAAGGAACACAACAGGTTTGTTAGCTTGTTTGCAACGGTCCTTTTTTAATACGTCTATTGGACAGTTGAAGAGTTCCAGAGTGTAGGCATCGTTTAGCAACGACGGACCGGAGCTAGAAACTTGACCCTCCCTGCGGCCAGTTGTCGCATAAGGTCAAACCACTGGCCAAACCTAATGTCGTCCAAGAAAGCAAGTAGCAAGAACGCTACTAGTGACAAAGGGCATCGCTACTAGGAGCAAAAAGCTACTAGTAGCTTCTGGCATTACTAGTAGCAAGAAGCTACTAGTAGCTAGAAGCTACTAGGTGGAGGCCATCGCTACTAGGTTGGAGGCCAAGAAGCTACTCGTCATCCCAATATTATATACAACACATGAGTGGGGCACATGCTTCCAGCAGTTGGGCGCCTGCGACTTCCTTGCCTTGACGACGCAGGGCCTTCTCCAATAAATACCTTGAGTTAAAGCAAAATCCAATAAATCGGCCCGTCTCAAACAAGAATGCAACAGAGGAACCTACAGGACAGTTTTTAGATGTATTGAACCTATTGCCTACTATTGCTCCTTCATGGGTTTGGCTTCGCGCCCTAGTTGGAATCAAATTGAACTATTTCCTATCCTCAAGAGTGTATTTGCACTCCTTGACGCCAGCTCCATCGCATCTCATCCAACTGGGGTCTGGTTTCACCAAGGCACTCGATGTGCGCGAGTCTGGCGTCAGGAGTGTCCTGAAAGCCAACCACTTGTGGGGTCACACTCGATGGCTGAAGCAAAGGGGCAGGTGCTACAGTGGCACTTCTCTTCTTTTAGCGGCCTGTTGGAGGGAAAAACATGGGAAAACTACCATGTCAAATGTGTATTTATATAATATATATTACAGTAGTGGCAAAACGCGAAACCAACCTCTGGAAGAAAATGTTCCCACTATAGTCACTATAGAATCAAATCTCAACCCTTGCAGTGCTGAGAACCTGTTCTCTATAAAATGGTTCAGCTCAACCTTTTGAGCAAAAATATTATGTTCATCCACTAGCTATGATGCCAACATTTAGGGAAATCAATGATACACCATCCACTCTGAAATGAATTCTCAGCCTACTATATACTAGTCGAAATGCTGTCTACAAAATCAAAACCACAACCTCTATAAAATCTGGTACATTTTCATGCCTTCTCTATCAAATGCAATAGCTCAACCTATTGGGCATCATGAAAGATCAACCTGTGAAAGCACAAGAGCTTTTAGATGCTTTTAGGCTAGCTTTCTTCAGGTAGAAGGACTTGCGACAGGCCCAGGGTGAGACTGACTCTGCTCCAATGTCCCACATGACCGAAATACCACGGGCGAAATCGCCGAACGAATGGACTGACGCCACGTGGCGCGCAGTTTTCGCGCAGCTACCCGCCACGCCAAGTCCTCCAGCATGGCACTGCGCCTCAGGCGCTCTTCCGGCCAGGGTGCCTCTGGCGCCGTCGTTCCGCCATAGCGCTTGATGGGCTCCTCGTTTTGACGATGAAGCCCAGACGGCTCATGACTCTGGATGCAGCCTGCAGGGCATATCAAGTCACATCTGCACAGCTGTGGAGGACTGTGGACCCTAGTTTGCGTGGCATCTAGGGGCGGATGACAATGCTGGTGCAAAACTTCCAAATAAACAAGTTTTTGCATACTTGGAGCTAGCCCTTGTTGTAACATGTTGTAACTATATCTTGGCACTGCACAACAATGCTACTGCAAAGCCGGCCCAGTGCACTCCAGGGCCTGAAAGCCCCAAATCCCCTTCATCAAACTCTCGCTTCTCATCCAGTCGTAGGTCCTGAGGATGTCAATTGGTCATTCAATTATGTGCCATGTTGGACACTTGGAGAGATCCTGTATGTCTTTGGGAGCATGTTGCACGTGATTTTAAACAATTGAGCACTAATTCATTCATCCATTCTGTCTCCCATTTCTCGGGAGTGCAGAGTTATGCTCAACCGGCTGCCAAAGAAAGCAAACGGATGCGTATAATTTTGGAGAAAACGGCATGCAGCTTCTGAATTTTGACGCCGCTATTGATTCACACACTCCAGGTGCTATGCATACTGTGTGGCCAAGACACAGCAACGAAAGACTTCCATTTA